AAATTCATCCTTGTCTGCTGAAATTGACGATGTTAAAAATCTTTTGATTAAAGAACAAACTGTGCTCCACACTTGGGCAAAATCTCATAAGAATGCCAATTATATTATCTCAGCTCAAATTCCTCATTCTTGTGAAAAAATTCTTGGGGGTAATTTTGCCGAAGCTGAAAAAGTTTTTTAAATCACAAGAAAAGGAATCTGAGGTCTATTCCATGAATGAGATGAAAAACAATTTCAAAAATAAGTTTGTCAGTAATTCTTTTATTAATCAAAGTTTAATTGTTGAATATTGTACTATTAATTCTGATGGTATTACTGAGTGTAATGTTGAAATTACCGGAATTGATCCTACATCTTATCCTGCACATCTTGTTAGACCAACTCCTCTAACTGAGAATATTATTGCTTTTCCCATCTCTAATGGAGTGTTTCATGCTGTTCATGAACAACTCAAGCACTTCCCTGATTGCAATCCATCTGAGAATAAGTCAAAATCAGATACTGACAGTTCATCTCCTAACACTGATCAAATTCTTTCTAACACTGATCTCAGTCGTGACTCGGTGATTAACAAAAGGACTGAAAGCTCTATTGGTGAATGTGTTAAATCTAAAAATTTGCTCACCAAGAAGAACTTTGGAACTAGAATTTGTTACAGATGTGGTGATTCCTCTCACAAGATCAGTGAATGTTCTTTTGATAAATCATCATCAAGAGCTGAAAATATTAAAGTTAGGAATGAAAAATGGACTCTTAAGTCAAACTCTTTAAACTGTCTTCCTAAGGAGTGTTATAATGTATTTTCAAATAACTTTGTGAATGACCCATCTTCGAATGGGTCAGTGTGTTCTAACTAGTTTCTTAGCACTGCAGGGTCAGGAGCATCTTTGGTACTTAGACAGTTGTTGCTCAAGGCATATGACAGGATCAAAGTCTCTCCTGGAAGATTATGTTAAGAAAACTGGTCCTGCAGTTACCTATGGAGACAATGGAAAGGGGCTCACTAAGGGATATGGAAATATCAAACGCAACAACGTGGTTTTTCAAAACGTTTCATATGTTAAGGGTCTCAAACACAATCTTATTTCTATCAGTCAATTGTGTGATGCTGACTATGAAGTTCACTTTACAAAGAAGGAAGGAAGAGTTGTAAACACTGACAAGAACATCGTACTCTCAGCAAGTAGAAAAGATGATATATATGTTATTGACATGTTCTCAAGTGACAAGGCACTGATGCAATGTTTCTTTACAAAGTCTCAGACAAATCTCAGCTGGATTTCGCACAAAAGGTTCTCTCATCTGAACTTCAAGAATCTATCTAAGATTTCCAATCAAGATCTAGTTAGAGGGCTCCCCAAATTCAGCGTTGTGAAAGACAAGATGTGTTCAGCGTGTGAACAAGGAAAATAAACCAAGTCCTCTTTCAAACCCAAGTCATGTTCCAGTATATCAGTCCCTCTTCATCTACTCCACATGGATCTGTTTGGACCTATTCCTGTTCGTTCTCTAGGTGGAAATAAGTATACTCTAGTGGTCGTTGATGAGTTCACTCGATTTACTTGGGTAGTTTTCTTGAAGAAGAAAAGTCATGCTGCACAGGAAATTATCTCACTGATTCGTAAAAATGAGACACTGACAGGTCTTAAAGTCAAGCAACTGAGAAGTGATCATGGTACTGAGTTCTGAAACTCAACTCTTGAAGAATTTTGTGATCATAAAGGAATTGGACAAAACTTCTCAGCTCCTCGTACTCCTCAGCAAAATGGTGTTGCTGAACGAAGAAATAGAACACTGATTGAGGCAGGAAGAACCTTGATGATTCATGCTGGTCTTCCCATGTCTTTTTGGGCTGAAGCTGTCAATACAGCATGTTTTACTCAGAATCGATCTCTAATTCACAGGATTCACAAGAAGACTCCATATGAAATGCTGAAAGATCGAAAACCAGATGTATCCTTTTTTCATGTGTTCGGATGCATTTGTTATATTCTAAATCAGCGTGACCCAAGATCCAAGTTTGAACCTAAAGCTGATAAAGGCATTTTTGTTGGGTACTCATCTATTTCAAAGGCTTTTCGTGTTTTTCATGTGAACAGGCAATGTGTTGAAGAATCCATTCATGTGAAGTTTGATGAGGAATCATACACTGATGAAAAAGTCACTCATTCTCCTTCTATCTTTCAAGAGCTTCTCTCTTGTTCATTCGATGAAGCTCCTTTTGCTGAAGATAAGATTGATTCCTCTGATCCTATCATTCCAGTTCCATGTTCCTTGAATCAAGATATTGCAGCCACATCCGCAGATGATTCATTAGGTGCTGATGAAACTCTTGAAGCTGAAGATTCTCCTGAAACTGATAATGTGTCAGTATCTATTCCTCCGGAATCAGCATCAGTCATTGTACATCGGGATCATCCTGTTGATCGAATTATAGGGAATATTCATGATGGTGTCCGAAACAGATCTAGTGTACTTAATAACTTTTGCATGTATGTTAACTTTGTTTCAATGATCTTACCTGACAAGGTACACACAGCTCTTCAAGATGCTGATTGGATCAAGGCCATGCAAGAAGAACTGAATGAGTTTGAAAGGCACAAAGTTTGGACTCTTGTCCCAAGACCATCTAGAAAGACTATCACTGGAACTCGCTGGGTCTATCGTAACAAGGTTGATAAAGATGGAATCATTACTCGAAACAAGGAAAGGCTTGTGGCTCAAGGGTTTACTCAAATTGAATCCATCAACTATGGGGAAACTTTTGCCCCAGTTGCTCACATTGAAGCTATCAGACTGTTTCTCGCATACGCATCCTACATGAACTTCATTGTCTATCAGATGGATGTGAAAACAGCATTCCTTCATGGTGTGTTAGAAGAAGAAGTTTTCCTAAGTCAGCCACCAGGCTTTGTAGACAAAGATCATCCTGATTACGTGTACCGGTTAGACAAAGCTGTTTATGGACTGAAGCAAGCCCCTAGGGCTTGGTATGAGACGCTGACATCGTATCTGCTTGAAAATGGATACAGACGAGGAGCAATCGACAACACTCTCTTCATCAAAAGCAAAGGCTCAGATATGGTTCTTCTTCAAATTTATGTCGATGACATTATTTTTGGCTCTCCAAATGAGACACTGAGCAAGGAATTTGCTGAGATCATGTCTAAAAGGTTCGAAATGAGCATGATGATAAAGATGACCTTTTTCTTAGGTCTTGAGGTTCAGCAAAAAAAGACAGGTATTTCCATTTGCCAAAGTAAATATATCTCTGACCTGCTTGTTAAGTATTCTCTCAGTGACTGCAAACCAGCATCTACCCCGGTATCTAAGACTGATAAACTACACGCTGATCCAACTGGAACTGATGTCAATCACTCTCTGTATCGAGGAATGATTGGATCCCTCTTGTATCTCACAGCAAGTCGTCCTGATATCATGTTTGGAATCATTCTCTATGCTCGATTCCAAGCCAATCCCAAAGAATCTCACCTCATGGCTGTCAAACATATTTTTCGATACTTAAAGGGAACTCAAAACCTTGCACTGTGGTATCCTCGCGACTCAGCATTTGAACTTTATGGATACACTGACTCAGATTATGCAGGATGAAATTTAGACAAAAAGAGTACATCTGGTGGATGTCACTTCCTTGGCAACCGTCTCATCAGCTGGTCTAGCAAGAAGCAAACATCAGTTGCCATCTCAACTGCAGAGGCTGAGTATGTTGCCGCTGGGAGATGTTGTGCTCAGCTCTTATGGATTCAAAATCAGCTTCTCGACTATGCGTTCAAGTTCTCAAAGACTCCCATCTATTGTGACAACACCAGTGCCATTCAGATCACACAAAATCCTGTTCAGCACTCAAAGACAAAGCATATCGAGATCAGACATCACTTCATCAGAGATAATGTTGAAAAAGGAAAAGTTGTTCTTGAACATGTCAAGACTTCGGAGCAACTTGCTGATATCTTCACAAAGGCACTAGATTCTCAATCAACTGCTCACATTATTGGAGAGCTGGGAATAATTTCCTTGTAATTAATTTTGATGTTTAATTGTGCTAATGTTTGATTTTGTCTTATAAGCTGATGTACATTGTGCTGATGATAACATACTGATGATATTTGCTACTGAGCACTTTGGTTTGATTTCTTATCCTTATCTCTTCTTCAAATCTTCTAAATAAAAGTTGAATGATTCACTGTATTAAACCATACACTGATAACGACTTGAAACTCTTTGCCGATGGTTAGATCAAAACACCAAGATCTATCACACGCAACTACCTCTTCTCACCAATCTAACACTGACACTGTGATTCAGTGTGCCAAAACACACACTGATGAGAATCTAAAATCTTTGCCGATGGTCAGATCAAAACACCAAGATCTATCACACGCAACTACCCCTTCTTACCAATCTTACACTGATTCTGTGATTCAATGTGCCAAAACACACGCTGATGAGAGTCTAAAAATCTTTGCCGATGGTTAGACCAAAACACCAAGGTTTATCACACGCAACAATCCATTCTTTACCCTCCTATTATTCAGTGTCTAATGATTCAGTAAGATAAACCACTCACTGATGAAGTCACAACACTCTGTGCCGATGGTTAGATAATGTAACTAGTATCTATCACACGCACCAATCACCTTGCTAACCTTGAATAAGCAAGTTGTACTTCGAATTGACGGAGAAACATTTTTAGCATGTAACATTTGTGACACTGAGCTCAGCGCTTCCGCAAACACTGATTGATGCTTCACCTTCAGTCAACGGCTCTTTTATCCAACGGCTACTTTATATTCTGACAGGTTGTTACGATGCGCCGTTCTTATTAATGAAGATAATCATCATCTTTTTAATCAAGATAATCATTACCTTTTAAAAAACCTTTTCATTCCATATTTAAACCTCTCTCTTCTTTGGTTTATCTTTTCCTCCCAAAATTCTTGAACCTCTCTCAAAACCCTAGAACTCTAAAATACTCTCAAATGGCGGCATCTCTGTTCACATACTCCTCAACCTCTCGAAGGGTCATTCCTGCCCCAAACTCTCCTCCTCTTCCCATTCACATCAAGGCCACCAATGTCGTCTTTAACCCTGACATTCCAGAAGTGCATCGAGGTCTTGGACTTGATGATTTCGTAAATTTTTTGGCTTCTTGCCGCCTTCGATATGCCATCAGTGATGTACCATCCGAGTTCTTCCCTGAACAAGTATGTGAGTTCTACTATACTGCAACAGTCAACGAAGAAAACAATGTCATCACCGGAACCATTGGCCATGGCAGAAACTCTATCTTCATCACCGCAGAACTTCTCAGTGCTGCTTTAAGGTTACCAATTTTTGAACCCTTTTCTGAACCTCCTACTATTGAAAGATGTAAATGCATGTTTGATCAATTGGGCTATGATCATTCAAAAGCTGGCACTCGATCAGCTCTTATTCTGCGTCAGTGCATGACCCCAGGCTGGAAGTTCTTCACTGGTGCTTTATGCAAGTGTGTGGGTCACAAGTCTCGCAGTGGTGACCAACTAAGCAATTATGAGCAACAAGTTGTCTGCTCCCTTCTTCTCAACAAAATATTGGATTATGGGGCTCTTTTCTTTGATCAGCTTATTCAGCTTCTACGTGCAAATGTGCGTGCTGATCATGTTCCCTTTCCACGCTGGATTGCCTTGGTGTTCGACAAATTCTTCGCTCCTGAATACTTTTCTCACTCTGGGAATCCAATTCAATGCCCTCGAATGTCAGTTCGTATGTATCAGGATGATCCTTTGGATACTGACATTAGAATCTTGGATAGGATGAGAGAATGGATTGCGAATCCATACACTGTGCCCTCTCTCACCGTTGACACTGATGAAGGAGGTGCTGATGGTAATCATATGGATCATGCTGATCAAGAGTTGGACCATCATGACGGTGAACATTTCTCCCCTCAACTTTCTCACCACGTCATCTCAGACACTGGCAAAGTCTCCTCGGCACCACAGGATTTCATGCCTCAGGGGGAGCATCCCTCATAAAGGGAGCATCAGTCTCAGGGGGAGCATCCGTCACCAGCAGCTCATCACTTCTCTCCAAGGATGCCTCCTAGCTCTCCAGTTGCCCCATGTTCCTCAATGGTTCAACTTCTGGCTTCAACATTTTCAGAACTGATGTCACTAACTCGGGACATCAGTCAGCGTCTGCTTCGAATTGAGGCTGATGTTCAACAAATCAAGGAGGTACTCTTACTTACTCCTCCCTCTAGTCCCAAATCTGATGATGCTCAAAAAGGGGGAGATACTGATGATGATGCTGACGCTGATGATCATGCTAATGGTGAACCAAATGATCATGCTGATGATGAACCAAGCACTCATGCTGATGGTGAACCAAACACAAAACCTGTCATTCGTGACTCTGATTTTGCAGGGCCTAATAGTCCAACAGCTACTGAAAAGTATGTGGAAGACAGTGAGCATGATGAAGAGCATGATGAAGCTGATGATGAATGTCAAATTCTTGACATGAACTTTATTGATCCTCTCATTCCAGTTCAGCAAGAAAGCTCAGATGACCTTGAAGAATCGCATCCTATTTTAACCAATCCTGTTGCTAATCCGATCATTCCGGTCCAAGGAGAGGATTCGGACGTTGCAAGTGAAGAATCCCATCCACTGTCTCGAAAGAAGAAGGCAGCAGATACTGACTTGGATCATTCTCAAACTGATAATTCTTCGTCTGTGAAGAAACCCAAGTCCATTGTCAGTATTTCAAATCTTGCCTCTGAATGGAACATGTCCCCTTTCCAAGTCAAGCAAATTCTTGATGAAACTAATCAAGCTCAGCTTCTAAAGAACATTGTTCAAGCTGATGAATCTCTTATTCAGCACAAACTTCAGGCCAAGGGATCGTTTGAAGCTCAGATGCAGAAGTTCCTGGAGTTTCAGTCCAAGGCTCAGTCTTCTCAACCTCCTACTGGCTCTAGTAAACCTAAGGCTGACAGTGTTCTTGACCGGATTGATCGAAAGAGATTTGAAGATGTTTTTAATCGTCGAATGTGTGGAGACAAGATCATCAAGGTCAAGGCTTCTAAACCTCGAAGCGAGAACATCCTTACGTTGCTGATCACTCGTCAAGGTTCTCAGCACTCTTATACTGAAGTTGTAAAAAGGGATGAGCTGATCAGATATGGGTATTCGGAATGGATGGAACTGCTCGATCTAGCATCCAAGCAAACCTCAGCTCATTCTTTCGAACTGAATTGTGCTCTTCATCTGCTGATCAAAAAGGTTCAGCGTCTGGATCTTGTTCCTAAAGAACGACCTTAGCATCCAGGCCAAAGGTTGTCATTTCCTAGATCTCGAAGGACCAAGTTTGATGTTGATGGCGAAGATGTATTGGTTCTATACTTTGGTACTGGTGTGATTAATAATTCTCTTCCTCTTGGTGTTGATCCGGTTCAGCATCAATTCATCTCAGCTCCTGAACACGGAATGTACTACCTTGACAAAAACAGGAGGATGTGCTTTCAGCGCACTACTGAGATCCCAAAAGCTCCAACCACTCACCTTGTTGGCTTAAGGAAAATGTGCATGAGTCATCAAGATTTATCCGGAGAGTTTCACATTCTTATCACCATGGAGTTGCTGAACAGAAGACAGGAGTTGTTGGACAGTCCTTACTGGCCCGTTAAAGTTGAAGCTGAAGCTGAGTATGAAGAATTCCTTTCCAGGGGTGTCTTAATTTAGTTTGTTTTGAACATCATCATATTGGGGTAGATTGTAAGGTCAAGCCTTGGAATATGATAATGTTTGAAACAGACTCAGCGTCAGCATATGTCTCAGCGTTAGCACCAGCACGTCGGCAGTTCAGTTTGTAATAGTTGTCTATTCAGCACGTTGTAACAAATCTTGTATTTATCCTGTTTCCTTAGTTATCTTGTTTTATTAGCTGGCGTATCCCTGAATTGTAGGGATCTTCTAGAATAGCAGTATATATTGTTTTGTATAGGTTTGTGAATGGTTACACCTTTCACAACCCTAATCGTCGCTTTGTGCACACGATAATCTCTTTGTGATATTATCTTTCTTAGTGAAAGTTTTTCTTCGTGAATCTCTCTTGTTCTTGTTTATAGTCATTGTTTGATATTTCGATTGATTTAAAGGCCTCTTCATGGGGTATGCCACCATGACATGTGATGGGTGGTTACAATTATTCAAGATCCAAGAGTCGGTATATGCCGAGTTGTGCTGGGAATTTTTCGCTACCATCTCATTTCGAGGTGGTAGTGAGTACTATAATCCTAACACAATCTCTTTTTCTTTGGGTGGGGAGCTGCGACAATGCAGCATGGTTGAGTTCTCTTGGAGGTTAGGTATTTATGATCAAGACATGATGATGACTGACTACTTTGAATCTTTCTTGGAGAACTGTCATAAAGAACTTCCCGAGGAGGTGGTAGCTTCTACATGGTGGAACACGATCGCTAACTGAGTTTATATCCCTTCCACCACTCAAGAAGGCCACATTTGCTCACCAATCCACCGACTCATTCACCGATTTGTGGCTAGTACCATAAACATGCGGAAGGATTGGGACAAGGTCCCAACCCTTGACATCTTCTACCTATGGAGCATCATTACTCCCGATGCTTTTTGCAACCTTCCCTACTGCATTGCAAAATTCCTTGCTGAAGGGGCGGTCAAAGAAAAAATCAATTCAAAAATCAATGGAGGCATGTTTATCACTCGGCTGGCCAAGTTATTTGGGGTCCTAGATTTGCCACAAGCTCAGGCACTCACGGTTATCCACCCTCCACCATTCAACACTGCACTATATCGGAGGGCCCAGATAGTCGATAAGTTTGGCGACTCATTCACTATTCCACGTGAAGATGAGCCAGCAGTTCCCGAGGAGCCGGGAAGGCGGGTCCGACAATGTAGTGAGCGGGTGCGGGAAGATCCACCGGTTATTCCGGTGGAGGACAATGATGGATGGAACCAATTGGAGTACCAACACTACTTGGATGATATTAGGCAAGGGGTGAATTACACTAATCAATCTTTTGAATACCTCTTTCAACAAATGCACATTGCCCCGAGACCCGGACCCGGCTATCCATATATCATGAGAATGAGGAGAAGAGATTGAGAAGGAGGAAGTAGCGCGGGAGGAGCTGGGATGGATGATGAAGAATGAAGAATTTGTTTTTTTTTTTTATGTTTTTATGCTTATGATGTTTTGTTTTCAACAATTGTCAAACACTTTGGATTTTTATTGTGGGTTGATTATTATTGTCACTTTTAGTTGTTTATTTTTCAGGGATAAAAGATAAGGAAGCATACTAATTTGTGAGGGTCAAGAAAGGAATGAGAGATTTTCAAGAAAAATATGGAGTTTTGTCCTTAGGATTGAGTCCATGAGAGTTGAGAGTAATAGGGAGTGTTGCTGCTGAAGGAATTAGAGTGAGGGTCAGTTTGCATTTCCGATTTCAACACCAGAGTCGAAAGAAGAATCAGTTAGATCAGTTTTGGAAAAACAGTGCCTACTCGCCAAGTGCACAAACTCTACTCGGCGATTACATGAGATGTTATACGATATCGTTCTAAATCAAGAGCTACTCGCCGAGTCCACGTTACTACTCGCCGAGTAGACTGCTAATTTTCGATTTCCAGAATTGCTTTGAGCACTTTCACTGCAACATTTATACACTTTTTGTGAGGGATTGCCACTGGAGATTTTCTAACGAGCTTGTTTTGTGGAATTTTCGAGCTGTCAACCACACGAGACGCATGACACCCGTGCCATGGAAGAGTTGTTCCCATGGCTAAAGTCAAGAAAAGAAGGAGCTGAAGAAGAGAGTGTCAACCTATCGACTGCTACCCCAGGGGAGTTTGTTCCAATTCTCTCTCTATATTTGCATTTTTATTTGCATAATATGCAATGAGGGCATTGCATAAAATAAGTGTGGGGTAGGGGGTTGGTCACATATTAGACGATTTAGAATCTTAATTTAGGCTAATTTTAGAAAAAATTGTTGCATACCAAAAATTTTACTTAGGAATTTAATTTAGAAAATTTTGGTAAAAGCAAATTAGGATTCCATGTTAGAATTGTGTTGATAATTGCATGAAAACCCAAATGTTTAGTTGAGCCTATACACGTTCTAGTGCATTTGTGGCTTCCTTATTCCAGTGAAATCATGAGACAAAAACACTACCTCGCTTAGCCTGAGGGATGCAATACGTTTAGCAGCCTAAACTTGAAATGTATCCAGGAAAATTGTTATCATTAGCCAATAAAGGTTGAGGTTGAGCGCCCCTGCTTAAGCATGTAGGGATTTGAGTGAAAGAAAGTGAGGAATACATGTAAAAGAGAGAGAGAGAGAGACAGAGAGAGAGAGAGAGAGAGAATTACAAGAAAAGTTGTAAGAATTTTGGAGCAAATAAAGTGAAGATCTAAAGATCAAAATTCCAAGAAATTCAAAAAGTTGAAGATACCAAAAATCAAACAATAAAGGTGGTGAATTCAAAGAAATCAAAGATCAAATTATCAAGGAAGTGAAGAATTCAAAAGAGCTTCAATGTGGTATCATAAATTGTAATTGTCTAGATTATGTATGCTTGGGTTGCTCAACTAAAAACACCTTGAGGGTAAGAGGTTTTCTAGAGGATGGATTTAGAGGGTTGCATAAAATAAGCATAGTTCGGGGTGAGTGGGCGAATGTTTATGAGGATTGTGACTATTTGGAGTATGGGGGTCCTTAGGAAAAATTTTAGACACAAATGCATGCGTTGCGGTCTCGGCATAATGGCTAGGTTAGATTGGAGTTGTTATATGTGATTCTAATATGCTTAAAATTTAGTTTTGCTTGGGGGCAAGCAAAAGTCAAGTGTGAGGTATTTTGATATGTGCATAATTAGTTAATTATTTAGTATACATTTTTAATCATTTTTAATCATTTTTAATTAATTATGTGAATAATGTGGACAAAAGGTACTTAAAATGGTTTGAATTTTGTTTTCAGTCCAGAAGACAT